CGCCGCGAGTAGGATGGGAAGGAGCGCGAGGGGCGTGAAGAGCCTAGGGCGCTTGCGCGCCGAGATGGACCATTCCTGGCGCACAGTGTGAAGAGGGGCTATCCGAGTCGGGCCACCGTGAGGCCAGCGCAGGGGGTTGCGGGCTTTGCCCCTCGCTGTCCGGGTTTACTTGGTACAGTCCGCAACCGGCCGATGGAGAAATTGCAGGGCTCGCGCGTGCGTGTGCGGGGCAGGAACGCGCTTTGTAGATGGGATGAGCCGGGGGTAGGGGGACGCCAGCTCGGCCGGGATTCGGGACCTGAGGCCTGTTCATTTGCATAATCTTAGCGCGGGACAATGGAGGCCTCAAGCACCAAATGGGGTGATTTGCATATTCCCCGGAAAAGCTGTACTCCGGGGCGCAGTGATTAGCATATGTGGGGCGGGGGGCGCGCCTGAGCAAGGCGCATGCGCAGAGGGACTGCGGACTAGCGTGCAGCTGGTAGCCTTGGTTTAGTAGGAATCAGTTTGCATCCCGAGAGGCGGCTCAAGGGTCAGGATCCTTACCGACCCTCACAATCGTCCAGCTCCAACCTGGATAAATAATTACTGCTCTTTTATGTGTCAGGCCCTGTGCTAGCAGGCACTATGGTTTCCGCAGTGAACAAGACATTACCCGGCCCCTATCGTCTTGATGCCCCAATCAATTATCCACACATAATCAGAACCACAATCTGGAGTGGTCAGACTTGGAATGAATGGAGCATAGGAAGCTGTGGGGGCTAGAGGAGGTGCCTGCCCCAGCCTGAAAAGGATTCCAGAAGGTGATGATCTTTAAGCCAAGGATTAATAGCCAACTGGAATGGGAGTCATGCTGGCAGAGGGAAGAGTTTACGGTAAAGGCCTAAAGCAACGGTTCTCAACCTGTGGGTAGCGACCCCTTTGACGGTCGAACGACCCTTTCACAGGGGTCGCCTAAGACCATCCTGCATATCAGATACTTACATTACAATTCATAACAGTAGCAACATTACAGTTATGAAGTAGCAACGAAAATAATTTTATGGTTGGGTCACAACATGAGGAACTGTATTCAAAGGGCCAGAAGGTTGAGAACCACTGGCCTAGAGGAAGAAAAAAAAAAAGCAATACATGATTTGACTGAGGAAGTGAAAGCAGATAGTATGCCTGGAACCCAGAATCAGAGAGGGGCAAGGCTCCTATAGGTGATGCTGAGTTCAGACTTTATGCTGAAGATATTGTAGGAGTCCAGGCTTCCTGGAAGTGACTCAAATTCCAGCTTAAAATGCTCCAATGGGATCCCATTGTGCTTAGAAAAAATCCAAACTTTATCATGGCCTGGTCCTGTTTACCTCTGACCTCACCGACCTCTCTCTTTACCCTGACTAACTCCAGTTCCCATCAAACACCCCAGTCTTTGTCATCTCAGGTCCTTGCCCTTGTTGTTCCCTGTGCCTAAAAATGCTTTCCCTCTGATCTTCAAATGGCTGCTGGTGTTAACCATTCATATCTTGGCACGGAAGTCAACCTGAGAGGCGTTCCCTGTTCTGTTTTTTTTCTAAAGTAGCACCTCCAGATTTGCTCTAGAGAAGTGAGTGGGGTTGTGGATAAAGCAGGATTGGCTGTGAATTGATGGCTTTTGAAGCTGGGGTGAAGGATGCGTGGACTTCCTTGTCCTGTTCTATTTGTGTCTGAAGATTTCCATAATAAGTTAAAATAAAATAGTACTCCACATCCCCTTCCTCTGCATTTTATCTTAATGGACACCTGAAATTAAGTTCTTTTTTCCTTGTGAAAGCTTCATGAAGGTAAAACACGGAGTCACCTTTTTCACTCTTGGGGCCTTATGTTTCAGATTTGTGTTATGCTGTCTGGAACACCAAACATTTGCCACTAGACCTTTGAGCAGCACCTGGCACACAAAGTAAGAGGTCAATATACTTTTTAATCTAAAATTAGAATCACTCACTTAAATTTTAGAGAAAGAAGGGCCTGGAATACCAGGTTAAGGAGCTTTGACTCGCTCTACAGGCGATAGGGAGACAGGGTAAGGTTTTGAGAAAGGCGGGATCAGGGTGAGACGTGACTAACTGCAAGCTGCCCTGGAGACTGATGTCGGGGCGGGGCTGAGCCAGGGAAGGGCCAGGTCACGGGGTGGGGATAGGGCGGCTCAGTAGTTACTGAGGAGGTAAGACTGACTATTTGGGTGAACAAGTGTCTGGGAAAAGCCGAGTTTCCCCCTCCAGGAGGGTCAGGGTGCCATTGGTGAGACCTTCTTTTGGCCTGTATGGCTCACCAGCGGCTCTTCTCCCTCCCCCCTCCCAACAGGGTGCAGCTTTGGGCAGAAGGACAGACACACAACTACCACAAACGTGTTCTCTCCTCAGTTTAATGGTGGTTAGTGGGACTGCCACACCCCCTTCCCATTCCCCTCCCTGCCCCGTACAAAATGTTGTGTTGTGGTGTTTTGTTTTGTTTTTTTAACAAGAAAAAGGGGGCAAAAGCCAGGAATGGGGGAGGAGGGCATAATCTGATATTTTCATACAGATTTTTTATTTTTTTAATATATTATATATAAAACCATAGAGACCAACACCCTCCCTAAACTCCTTTCCCCCTCCCTGGGGGGGGGAGGGCCTGGAGGAGAGCTGGGGAAGGCCCCCCCAGGAGTGGGTGGACAGAGAGACAAATATAGATAGGACAGATGTGGGGGGAGAAGGTAGAGGGAAGGGAAGCTGGAACCTGGGGAAGGGGGATTGGAGAAAAGGGCTGGGGCTGTCTCCCTCACCTCCTCCATCAAAGTTATGACACAAAGACACAGAATCCCTGTTTCCACACCCTCCCCCCCACCCTTACCCCCACCGTGCAAACATGGCTTTGCAAAGAGGTGCCCAGAGCTCTATGGAGCTCCTACAATGGCTGGCATGAGGTCTTGGACCCCCAAAGAAATCTGCGTTTCCCTTCCCTGCCCACCCCACCCTTCCCAGAATCTGATCCCCTCCCCACATGACCTGGTTCTGCAGCTTAGGGGCCCTGGCCTTCCCCCTGTTATCTTCCCCCAACCCAATCCCTACCGCCCTCCCTGGACTTGGGGGATCTGGACCTTTGGCCCCTACCCCCTGGGGGACCCCAGACCTCTGGGACCTTGCTTCTGGCCCTCAAAGAGACCTAGGCATATGACACCCCCATCCCTGCCCAAACGTCTGAGGTGTTAGTGGTGGGGAGAGATGCCCACCATCCCAGACTCTGGTAAATGTCTTTGCAGCTGGCAGTGGGGTGGACCCTCGCCCAGGCCCAGGCCTGGGGTAGAGACGGGGTCAGATGAAGAATTCTTCTTTCCTCTTGTGTCCGTCACTGCCATTGAGGAAGGCTTCTCTCGCTTCTCCCTGCTCATCCAAACCACTGGCCTCGTGGGTCAGATAGGAGCCTGAGGGGTGACCCAGGAGTTGGACAGAAATAAACGGGAAGAAGGAGACAGACAAGACAGATATCAGACAAGGAAGAGGAAGAAAAGGAACACAGGGAACAGAGGGAATCAGGACCAGGGAATAGCAAAATGGGCAGAGAAAGAGGTGAAGCAGAATTAGGAAGATACCAAAAGTTCATGGAAAGATCAACCCTGATCTGTTCTCTTGGTGATATCCCCTTGCTCTGTTCCCAAGCGAATCCAGCAATTAGGAAGGTAAATTGTTTAAACCCACGGATTTAATTCCGCTTCAACGTTTCACCCCTTTTATTCATGGGCAAAACACCTCTGTTCTCTTGGTGATATCCCCTTGCTCTGTTCCCAAACGAATCCAGCAATTAGGAAGGTAAATCGTTTAATTTAAACCCACGGATTTAATTCCGCTTCAATGTTTCACCCCTTTTATTCATGGGCAAAACACTTGCCCCTTTGGGAATGTTGGCCTCAGATCCCACAGGGTTTGAATCCTGGTTCTAGGCTCTGCCCTCACTCAAATTCAGTCTCTACGCCCCACCCCCTTAACCAATCCCGCAACCAACTGCAACCCTCGCTGAATTCAGACCTCCGTCCCCCCCAACCACTCACCCTTCTGCCGTACCGAGCACCAGACCATGCCCACCAGCACACATATGATCAGAAACACCAGTAGCGCCAGGATGCCGCCCACAATGGCGTAGGGCACGGACGTCTGAGCCTCCACCACCGCACCGGGGTCTGCCAGAGGAACAGGGCGCAGGACCAGGTCATCGGAGCACGGTCCCTGCCCAGCCCATCGCTGCCAACCTGTTAAATTATTCCGCCCACTCCCTCTAACCGCTCCCCTTAACGTGCCATGCCCCTCAAATTGCTGCCACCTGCTGGGCCTTTCTCATGGCTTCCCGCTTTCCTGATGTTCCACCACCTCCAAGAATGCGTGCTGGATTATACACCGCCCCACTGGGTCCTGAGTCATTTTGCTAATACGTGCTCTGCCTCCTTTTCTCACCCCACACCCAGAGATCAGAAACAACACATCCCTTTTCTTGGGACTATGCTTCTTCCCCCGTAGAACCTTGGGTCCAAGTCCCTTACCATATTTTATCCAAAATGCTTCTGGTATCTACAATGCTACCTAGGGCCCAAACATTTCCAAAATTCCTGCTGCACCATCATAAGAGTTTAACACGTAGCATTTTTTTTTTTTTTTTGCTAGGGGCTTTCCAACCGCTTTATTTACTTTTATATTTTTTGGTTAATCCTCCCCCGATAATATTTTTCCATTGATCTTTTAGAGAGAGTGGGAGAGAGAGGGAAAGACAGAGAAACATCATCTATTGGTTGCCTCCTGCACCTGCCTTGACCAGGGTCAGGGCGGGGGAGGAGCCTGCAACCAAAGTACGTGTCCTTGGCGGGAATTGAACCCAGGACCCTTTGGTGCGCAGGCTGACGCTCTATCCACTGAGCCAAACCGGCTAGGGTCCTTCCAACCACTTTATATATTTAGCTCATATAATCTTCATAAACCCTGACATAGGTGCTATTGTTCATTTCCACTTTACCCATGAGGAAACGAAGGAGCAGACTATGTCACCGGCAATAGGATGTTGCAGAGCCAAAACTGAGCCCAGACGGATAGTCTGGCCTCAGAACTGTAAGAACTCTGTGGGCTGTTGGACCTCTGGAATCACTTTGCACAGGCCCCGCCCACCCAGGACAAGGCAGGGACCCCGGGAGGCCACGCCCCTGCCCTGAGCCCCGCCCCCAAGCCCCAGCAGCCTCCACTCACCGTAGACCACGAGCACATAGAGCGCCCTCGCGTGGCCGTGCTTGTTCGACGCCTCGCAAGTGTAGGTGCCATTATCTGCTGATACCAGGCCAGGCAGCGTAAGCGTCTCCCCGAACGCCTCGGCCCGCTCCGGCAAAGACTCATTCCCGCGGCTCCAGCGGATCTGATTTGGCCTGGACGAGGGTAAAGGACAGTGAGAGTAAGGGACGCAGGCGCCAGCATCCAATCCTGACTTCTCAGCAATCTAGACACGGAGCATCGAGGAAAAAGAGGGTCCCTACTCAGGCGTCTCGGGCCCCTGAGCTCACCTGGGGTTCCCCGTGACGGCACACGTCAGCACCAGCGTGTCTCCCTCCCTCACCACAGCCTGCGAGGCATGGATCCGGGCCGTGGGGGAGTCTGCAGGCAGAAGTGAGATGGGAGAGTGGCTGTCAGGGCCACCACGCGGGGTTGGAGCCCTCCCGGGTCCGGCGGCCGGCCTGGGGCCCCTCCCGC